ACTGTCTTATTTTCGGGGAAACAGGGTAGGTAGAGTTGTACAATATTATTGGCCTGTACTCATCATATTAAATTGTGGTATTATGAGCACAATCTTCCAATTGCATGACAAATTAGTAGTGTAAGAGTGATTATTAGTCTTGGTTTTAATTTGATCATAGTTTCATTGGGCTATTATATAATGGCTACGGTTTAGGATAATTAGTGGAAGTACTTCCACTATTCTTTTCTGAATAACTTAAATAGGGCTATAATTCCTTGTTAGATAAAACGTTCAGACAAAAGTATTTTGTTTGTTACGAGTAATACCTAAGATTACAATGAACTGAAAGTTTAACAAGAAATTATTTTTTCTTGTGATTACTTTGTGTATAGTCTGTTTCATGAAAGTCAATTTCCTCGGGTTTGTGGGTTTTTCACATAGCAAATGGGGTGGGAAGAGGGAGAGAAAATGTTTTGTTTTTTTAATAGGAATGTGGTTTTAAAACCATAAAAGGCTTTGGATAGGTGTAACTTCTGTAACTACTATTAACTTAAAAAAAAACACCAAAAAAAACAACGTAGATTTCAGATTGATAACTTGTATTTTGCTGAAATGCAAATTGTCACTCTCTGGCCTTGTATACACACACACACATCTGGTATTTTTGTTCCCAAACCCAGGTACAACATTTTGTAGTGTAGATACATATTAAGTTTCATGTTTTTGTCAATTCAGGCTGGATTCATGCTGTGCTCACATCTCAGGACTGTATGGCTTTTGGAGGAAACTTTTTGCACAACCTCAATATTGGCATGCAGCTCAGGTTAGTTTCATCTGTCTGTTTTGACTATACCATTTCCTCCACAAGCGGGCATCCTTCTATTTAATAGATAGTTTTCATCATGCTTGTTACATGGGATTAAATGGAGACAGGGTCTGGTAATGGACATTGCTGCCTTTTTTAGTTTGTGCCAGAAGCAGACTTTGATCTATTTCACTTCAACAAGAACAACATAGTCTCCAATGAATGTTCTGCACAAATTTAGTTCCATCCTAAAATCAAACAAGCTCTACTTTGGAGATTAGTACAAAAAAGAGAGATGCTAAAACTGGTCGCTCTGATGAGATGGAAGGAGCAACCTTCGGTGAGGATTGATGTCAGGACAGCTATATTAATTGTTGTCCAAGATGTGGAGCTGTCTTCTAAACCTACTGTTTTATTTATTACAGTGGAATCTCAATTAAATTCCATCTGTTAAAAGATTATACATTGGGTTTGTATCCTAGTTTTATTAAGTCCAACTTTTATTTTTGCAAGTGCAGTAGTCAAACTTGATAGTCAGAGATCAGATAAGATCATAGTTCAGTCTTATCCGAATGTGGTCTTGCTGGGGTTTGGCTATGTGGAACTTGATTTGTTTTGTTTATCATGACCTGTTGGTTTTATTTTTCTAAACATTGTACGAGTTGGATATTGCATTGATTAATTCTAAAATGTACCCATGTAGTAATCTTTCTAAAATATTTGTTTAGGTGTTATGAAATGGAGAAAAGGCTAAAAACCCCAGATCTTTTCAAATTCCCTTTCTTTGAAGCCATCTGTTGGTTTGTGGCCAAAAACTTACTGGAAACTTTGAAAGGTAACTAATTTCATGTTTTAATAAGATTTTGAGCATCTTGGCTTTCTTTCACCTTGGGAAGGTCATGGTCTCCATCTCATGACAAATATGTAATCTGGAGAAGTTAGGTGAGCTGGGGAACGTAGTCTTTGCATGGTTTGAGTTCCTAACTGGGAAAAGCTTGTATAATTTGTTTACCAAAATCTGTTCTTTTGATTTTGCAAATGCTGCACTGTTACAGTTCTTCATCTAATCATTTTTGCTTTCAGTAAATGGTAATTCTGAATATTGATGTGAAGGTTGACTAACAGTAAAACTCTGTTTGCGGAAGTCTAGGTGTATAAATTGATTCCTCTGGCATTTTTTTTTTAGTATTTGAAGTGAAACTCAATGTCCCAGTGTTTTTTTTTTTTTCCAGATGCCAACAGCATAATTGGCCAGTGAAAATAAATTTCTCTAAACAGTATTAAGTTTTAAGTTTGGACACACTGGGTATCTAAGATCCTGGGAAAATACAATCTTACTGGGAAGGCTAAACCTAACATAGTAGAATTAGTTCCCTGCTGACTGAAAGGACCATGTTAAGCCTGATGGTTGTAAAATGTATTCCAACTCCTCTAGATCACCTCTTCATGAGGTACCTTCCAAAGATATCGAACATTTAAGATACATAACATTATGCATTATCTATCTCTGTAAAACTCTTCCTATTGTCTGTCTTTGTGAGATTCTCAATTCAGTTTGATCAAAGAGACTCCTTCAAGAAGTCAGGGTTTTACATTATCATCTTGAGGTGCTTATTGTGGTAACAGTTTTTGAGAAGAAATTATTGATCCAATGTAACTCTCTCTTTAAAAAGCTCAAGTAACTTACACGGGATATTTTTTCTGTTTTTCTGATGACGGTCTCTTTGCCTTGTAGAAGCAGTGAACTCCACTTTTAGTGACACAGCCAGCACAAATTCATTTTAAAAGTTTTTTGCTTTCTTTCTTTAAAAGGTGTCACTTTTACAAAGTCCATTTTTTTTATTTATTCCCTTCCATTGACATTTTCCCCTTTCCTGGGAATCTGTTGCTCATGTCCTCAAAATTGATTCACCCTTCTTGAACTTCAGCTTTGACTGGCTCTTATGCTAAACTGTAAATTTTTTCAAAAGCACCTAAATGATTTAGGAGCCTAAGACCATTGGGAGGCAGTGGGATTTAGGGTTCTAAATTATGTGGGCTCTTTTGAAAATTTTACCCAAGACCTCATCCCCATTAGATAAAGCAGTATCCTCACAATACTTTGTGAACTGCAAGATTGAAAGAGTTTTTAAGAGGAGCCTTGAATACTCCTCCATTACTATATATGCTGAAGTAGCATTTGTTGTCAACTCATATGGCCCTTTCAATCAATCTTTAAAAAAAATCCTATCGCAACTGGAAAGAGTGATGCTAAGAAAAAGCTTTCTTCTGTCTAGCACACCCTAGCACAAGTAAATGTGTGACTGCAGGTTTTGATTCACCTCTTCCAAGCCAAACCCTCTTCAGGCTCCCTTTTGAGGGTGAATTATTTTGAGACTAGAAAAATTTTGAAAGATATCTTAGTCTTAGATCTAACTAAATCTATCTAGAAATGCTAGGGGAGCTTCATTCATTTTGCTACAGTTGGAATTTCCAGTCATTTGGAAATCAGTCTTACTTTCATGCCATTGGGGTTAGGACATTCTCCTACCCCACCCCAAGGGGCTGTCTCAGATAGACCTTCTCCATAGACAAATCTTGTTGACCCAGGAGCATCTTCCCTAAGAGACTCAAGAACATCTTTAAAACCTGAGCCACTACCATTTCAAACAAGGGCTTCTTCAAAGATTTAAAAAATCCCAATCCACTAACTTCCTGGTTTCCCCTCTCAAGACCTAGTGAAAAGAAACATTATCCTGAACAGTATCACAAAAGCTCTTTCACTTGGGACAATCATCTATTCAATCAGAATAGAAGCTTTAGTTTCTGCTCCTGATTCTTTGTGGTAATTTAAAAAAAAAAGGGGGGGGGGAGGGGGTAGGTGGTGGGGGAGTTTTTACCTGACCCTGGGCCTATCTATCCTCTACACAACCTGCGGCAGCAAGCCTTCCAGCCCTGGTCGACAGACTCAGGCTAGCGGAGTTCACACTGGCACTCTAAAAATAGCTGTGTAGATAACACTTTGAAGTTGGGGCTCAGCTTGGAGCTCAGACTCTGAAGCCTAGGGAAGTGGGAGGGCTGAGTCTGATGATCTGGACTGAGAAGAGTGCTTAAGACTCCATTCAGGGTGGAAACTCTTGCCCTTCTGATCCAAGAGACAGACCCCAGGATTTCTCTTTTCCTAGACCACCTCGGTCCTCTGTGTAATGGAGATCAGATCACAAGGACTGCACCTGCACTTTCCTGATCAGTTGCACATTACTAGCTGCCTCCACCTTCCAGTTCTTTTGTGACGGTCAGACAGGAAGCTCCCTGAAGGAGTTAGGACTGGGGTCCTGTGAGTGATTGCTGCTCAACTCTACTTTGGTTTATAATCAGACCTCCACTCCTTTGCTTCCCCATTTTCTAGTCGATCTTTTACTGAAGTACCTATTTAGTTCATCTTTTGCTAATTATTATAGCACCCCAAAGTCTAGTATGTGCTTTACATTGTAAATAAAGAACTAGGTCCCTGCCCAAAAAAACCCTATAGTTCTTGGCATTTTTTCTGTTGAAGCTTTGATGTAATCAACTGCTGTAACTTATCCTGGAAGCAAAAGTGAGAGTTAAGGCCCTGTGTTTTGAGGACTAGGAATCTGGTTTGGTGCTGCTTGTTTCAACACAGTCCAAGATTCCTGCTGAATTCTGCCATCTCAGCTTTGACTACTACATGCAAGATGCCTGTGCCATCTGCATTGAAGCCAAGGTATTAAAAATGTGTCCTCACTTCAGCCCCACAGCAGTTGGCATTTTTACTTGGCTACAGCTCATATGATATTGCTTCAGTAAAAACACCAACTCCAGGAGACACGACCTCCCCCACCTTCCACCCTCCTCTCCAAACTCACGACATTCCTCCCTTTCTCTCCTGAGGACAGCTTCTCCCTTCCCCAGCGACAAGGAGGAAGAGGACTCCATCGCGTCGTCTTATTCCAAACAGGAGCGAACAACTTCATCTAGATACCTTCACTATGCACAACCCTGGTATGGACCACCGTGGATGCAATCTCACGTTCTGCTCCCCCACACATTGGCCATGTTGGGACCCTTGGGCCACGTATAGGGCACAATTTGGGAAGCCTTCCATGGTGCAGAGCCAGAGACCTGCACCTTTGCCTTCTCCATCAGTCTCTCGCCACCAGAGACTGAACCTCTCCTGGTACTGGACAAGGAGGAAGAACAGGAGGATGAAGCTCCACCAGGACTACATTTCTCCTCTTCTTCCTGTGATGAGGCTGTCATGCCCCCATCTCCTACTGCTGCTGATGACTTCAGGCACTTTCAAGAATTATTTCACGGGATTGCAGTCTCCCTCTAGGTTCCTTTGGAAGAAGTGAAAGATCAGCAACATAAACCACACTACTCAATATCCTGCACACATCATCTTCTGAAAAAATTGCCCTACCTATAAGAGACTCGATCCCATGAAAGTGCTCTAGCAGACTCTGGTGTCCATCCCTCTGAACTGCAAATGGCAGACAAAAAATATTATGTTCCCACAAAAGAGATGGAATTTCATTTGTCACATCCCAATCCCAATTCCCTAGTAGTTAATGCGGTGGAAGAAAAAAGACAGCAATGTCAACCTTAATCGATCCATCAGGACAGAGACCCGAAACGATTAGATTCATTCAGATGCAAGGCTTATTCATCTGCAGTGCTCCAATTTCACATATTGAATTACGAAGCTCTTATGGCCAAGTACAACTACCTCAACTACTCCAAGATAGAGGAACTCTGCCAAGACCTGCCTGAAGCCAAGAAAGAACAATGCCAGGCAGTTATGTCTGAGGGACACCTCCTGGCCCATATAGCCCTACAAGCTTCTTCAGACTCTGTGGCTATCGCTGCCTGCTCCATCGCAACTGCTGTAGTCCTGAGGCAGGCATCATGGCTACACCTCGCAGGCTTTCCTAAGGAAGTACAAACCATAGTAGAAGACTGACCTTTTGAAGGCCCCAAATTATTTGCGGCGCGTACGGATTACTCCCTACACTCCCTAGCTACTCTCCGCTCTCTTAACATTTACACACGTGCGCTGAAGAGATGTCGGGGAAAGTATCATCTTCCCCTGCAATCTCAACCACCGCAGTACACTCCCCAGTAGAAGTATGACACCCAGCGTCAACAACAAAAGCCCCCTACCAAACACAGACAGGCCACTCCTGAAGGGGCTACCTCGTACAAACCTCCAGCCAAGCAACAAATTTGAAGGTGTGGTTGAGGCCCCCAAGAAGCCTCCCTCAGATCTCCGCCAGGCCGTGTCGCTAACTACTTGGTCACATGGCAGCGGCCACTTTTGTGGTAAAGCATGCATGGTTACATATGCAATGTCTTCAGGCATGGCTCCGTATAGTATGTCCCTCACAGACACAGCCTCCACAAACTTTTATCCATGCTGATGAGAGTCAAGGACTTGCTACTCCGGGTGGACACATCCCAAGAACATCTGTGTCAGGGTTCCTTTCCTCCAACCAGTGCTGACCATGATTCCAACAACCAATGCATCTCTAATCAGTTGGGGAGCATACCTTCACAATCATACAGCACAGGGCAGATGGTCCTGAATCGAATCCACCCTACACATCAACTTCCTAGAGCCAGAGGTGAAAGTAAGCCGGTCCGGTATGGCATATTGGTAAGAGCCAGTACACAGCCAACCGTACTGGCAGGGCCGCTGATGAGGGGGGCCAAAAGGGGCAGCTTCCCCGGGGCCCGGCAATTTAAAAGGGCCCAGAGCTCCTGGCAGTGGCCGGAGCCCCCAGCTCTTTAAATCGCCGCCAGAGCCCCTGGACTCCCAGCTGCCGCTACCGCTACCATGGGGCTCCGGCAGCAATTTAACTGGCCCGGGGCTCCCAGCTACCGCTGCCAGCATTGTCACCACTGCGGACTCATGGAGCATGAGATTCTCCCACGACCAAGAGTGGGAACTGGATACACAAATCCTTCAGCTCGTTTTCAACTGCTGGGGATTCCCCACCATAGATCTTTTTGACACACTGCAAAATGCCCACTGTCCTCAATTCTGCTTGAGAGCAGGACTGGGACATGTATCTCTGGGAGATGCATTCCTCATCACATAGGATGCACCACTACTCTGTGCCTTCTATGCCATTAGCTTTCTGCCTGGACAGGACTAAAATCTTTCTGAAAATCACCATGTTTATTCCTTTCATGGACCGAAAGATCCAAGGACACAGCCATCTCTTAACAATACCTTTCCAAGTGGATCTTGTAGTGTATACATCTGTCCTACCAACTTCACAATCAACCATCTCCTACTGCAATTAGAGCACATTCTACCGGCTCGCTTTCCACTTCCATTGCCTTTCTCAGTAATGTTCCCATTGCTGACATTTGCAAAGTGGTTACATGGGCATCAACAGACACTTTTGCCCATCACTACGCCTTTACTCATGACACCACAGCAAACACTTTCCTAGGACATACTGTCCTATCATCTGTAGTAAATGCTGCTTCAAAGCCCCTCCTTCCAATTAGGGGCACTGCTTCTTAGTCACCTACAGTGGAGCATCCAGAGGGACATCATTTGAAGAAGAAGAAAAGGTTACTCACTCTGTGCAGTAACTGAAGTTCTTTGAGATGTGTGTCCCTATCGGTGCTCCAATACCCACTCTCCTCCCCTCTTCTTCAGAGTCAAACATAGGCTCTGCAGCAGAGAAGGACCTGGAGGGCAGTTGGATCTCAGTGTTGTATATATCCTGCTCAGAGCACAAGAAGGGGGAGGTGCGCATGTGCAGTCCAGGCACTTATGATGAAGATCTCCTGTCCCAGGTGTAGGGGGCGCTGCCACACCTACACCGGAGGGACACGTAGGGGGACGCATTTTGAAGAACCTCAATTACTGCCCAGGGTGAGTAACCGTCTCATCCCAATAAAATTCATTTTATGAATGGACAATGTGCCATTTGGTATGAGGTTCTTTTTGATCTTTTGCCTTTTTATGGATCAGTATTTTTAAGACTTGGAGAGATTCACATTCTTCATGTATAAAGCTCATTCTGTCATTGTTGTGACGACAAAAATGTACTTTTAGAAAAACAAGAACAGTATTTGAACAGAAACCTTTCATGCCAAGTTTCAGTGCTAAACTAATTTGTACAATTTGCTGGACAGAGGTACTTTTGTGGTACTATGAGTGTTGTAGCATGCATTAAACTGATCTGTTTCACAATCAGAACTTTAAAATCATTGATTGCTCTCCTAAACAGAGCTCTCAACTGTACTGTATCATTGTGACGGGGTTCCCGGGGTGCAACCTGAACTGTGGGACCGCTGAGCCCTCTGTCCCACCAACCTGGGGTATCCCTCTCACACTGTGATGCTGTTGACAAGCTACAAACCTCTGGCAGGTACTGCACTTACACAGACATCCACAGGCAGGGACACACCCAACAGTTACATGAATGCTTCTCCCAGCCACTCATGAACCAACAATAGAGAAGCTCCAGTCAATCCCCCCCCGCTTCCCAGCCTTGCACCCCCGAACTGTACTGTCTTGCCCTGGTCAGAAGCCTGACCAATGTAAGTTCATTACCCAGTCCGCACCTCCCTCAATGTGGACAGGACACGCACTAGCCTTGGTAATGTGAGCTGAGATTTCCCAACCAAAATGCACTGTTTTAGGTAAAATATTAAACATGTTTATTAACTACAGAAAGATAGATTATAAGTAGTAAGCGTAGAGATCAAAGTTGGTTACCTAAGAAATAAAATAAATTCGCAGTCTTAAGTTCTATAAACTAGACAGGACTTGAATCAAGCAGTGTGTCACCCTGATAGATAGTACAAACAGGTAACAGATCTTCAATACACAGGCTTGGAATTCTCCTCCAGCCCGGAACCCCCTCACCTGTTCAAAGTCTTTGTCCTCCAAGCATGTTTCCAGGTGTTGAGTTGTGGGGGCAGTGAAGCCAAGTCATGTGACTCCCCCTCTTTATAATTTCTTCCAGTTTGCTGGAAAGATCTATCCTCATGGGGGGGGGGGGTGTCCTCCCCCATTGGTCAAGCATTCTCCATTGTTTACGTGCTCTCTGAGAAATCTCTATTGTATACAGTTCCTGGGATAGTGGATTCTCTTTAATGAGCCATCTGCACGTCAGGCTACTCCATTGCTGTACCTGAAAGGTTGGTTGTGGGTGTTCCCAACCTCACAACATACCTCAGTAACATACGCATAGCAAAACTTCATATACAATGATAACACATACAGTCCAACAGATATTAATGTTCAACAAATCAAGACTTTTTAAATGATATTTCACAAGGCATACTTTGTACGAAACATATCATAATTATATGATAGTGGTGAATATGGGGGTTTCAGGGTGCTGCATTGAGGTACAGGTTGCCACAATCATGCAATACATTTGCATTGCAGCCGGTTATGGCAGGTTCCCTTCACAAGGGATAGCTGGCAGGTGGAGATGCTTCTGCTGCACCTTTTGGGACCCCCTGCTCTTTTCCTCTACACTTCCGTAGCTCAAAGAGCAGAGAGCATCCTGGCAAAGAAGAAACAGAGCTGCCTTGAAGCTGAAAGGAGTTTTCAGATAGGGAAGAGGAAAAACCCAATGGCTGGGCCCACACCTTATTCATAGGAGGAGGGAGCAGAAAAAGCACAGCAGCTCCAGGCCAAATCTGCTCCTTTCTTCCCCATGAAGGTGTTGGCCTAGTAGCCACCTCCGTCCTCACCCATTCTATCTGTAATGGGGGTGAGGGGGGGTAGGAGGAATAAAACCAGATGAGTCTTTCTAGCCAGCTCTCCTTTCATCATAGGCAGCTCTGCTACAGGCAAGAGAGTGAAAGGAAAGGTTGAGCGGCAGCCTCCAGTAGCTGTAGCAGCCTTTGGGAGTCTTTGCACCCCAGCAGCAGCAGCAGCCACCATCCTTAAGGGAAGAGGAGGGTCTCACTGCAGGGGAGACCGCATTAATATTGTGTGTACGCATGTGTGTGTAGCATTGATTGGGATTATGGCAGAGATTTGGGGTGGCATAAGGCAGTTGGCTTGAATTGTGTGAATTTTATATGGGTGAGGAGGAGCTGCATGAATTTAATTGAGGCATTTTATACTGACACTGTCCATCCACACCACTCTTCTTGTAGCCCCAAATGGTAAAAACGTGGAACACCTGTGTGGTGTTGAACTAGAATCTAAAGATTGTTTCAGCATAAATTGTCAGAAAGGATGTTTTTTCTAAACCAGTTGTGCAATCTGTTATATGCTGCTCCCCCGGTCCTAAGTAACCTGTAACACATTGCAAAACTCATGTAATTGTTTCACGCAGTAAGAAGCTATCCTTGAAAACAGACTTTGTACTTGAAAACATTTCTTATGGTTTGATGTACATAAACATATAGAGTACTACATTTCAGTTTGTTGCATGTTTTGTTGGTAGTGTAATACTGGCAGGCTTATTAAAGGATGAGAGGTATGTATCGGATTTGTGGTTTTACATTGCAATATGCTTATAAACTGAAATCTCTGTCCTTTTTAGAACTGCGGGAAGATGGTTTCCAGCCCCAGAACTTCTTAGTCCAAGGAGTGAAGGCTTTACTTAGTGCTTTAAAGTTATGGATGAAAAAAGAAGTAAGTGCAAGTGGATTTGTTTATTTGTTGTTTTAGTGAATTGTTTCTAATTTTAAAACTACATGAAAGTCTGAGTCCTTTTAGAGTGTATTGCCATTTTGTAGATCTTTCATCCATTTGTAAGTATTGGAAAACTTGCTAGAAATTACGGATGGATGGTTTGGGGGAAAGCTGTTTGAGATAGTTTTGTATGCCACTATCAGTTGTTATAGACCAATTACTATATTTAATTCTTGGGATTGCATTTAATCCTGCTTTCTTTTTCCAGTGTATGATAAGAGTTAGATGGCAATCACATGAAGTTTCCCCATGTGAAATTATTATTGCGTGTTGGCAAAATATACTTTGTGTGTCCACTGATATCACTTCTACACTGCAGAGATGATCAGAATTTGGCAGAAATGTATTCTGATTTAGAATTTGCTTTTGTTTGCCTCCACATTTTGCACATATGGTGCACAGTAACTTAGACCTAATAGCCTTTAAAAGCTTATCTACAGAAGTGGCTCCTTGTAGGTGCTCTAAAGCAGATTAAACCATCCAGAAATGAATATGGGGAGACCCTGAATACATTAGTACACTGGGAACCCGTCTGGAAAAAAAGTATTATATTTGTTAGCCCAACCTCTAGCAAAGTTACTCTGTGTGGGGGAGGAAAGATTAATGAGATCTTGTTTTCCCTCCCTTTTCTGAATGATTTGATTCCCCCCCCCCCCTCCCCAATTTCGTTGAAACAAGGAGCTCTGAAGGCCAAATTATTGAGCAGTAAAGGGAGAAGGAAAAACACAGTACCATAAACCAAAGAGATTCTGAAACCACCCCCCTCCTCCCCCAAAGAAAACAGTACTGCTTTTGTGGGGAGATTTGGGGTTCAACATGTTATTCTCCATTCCCCCCTCCCTCCACTAGGGTTATTGATCTGATCTACAGACTTGGCTGAAAGCTCAAGAGGGGACACCTTTGGCTTCAGGGCCATTCATCCGTGCTTCTGTGAAACTAATCACTGCATATCCATCTCCTCTCAGGCTTTTCTTTGAACATTCACAGTAAGCTAAAAACTGGAAGAAATTCAAATTGTAATTTTGCACAGAAAGCGTGTGTGGTTTTTTTGTTGTTTTTTGGGGGCGGGGGGGTTGAGTGCCCTCTGTGTATTCCCACTTGTGGGATATAGCAGCTTTGGATTTTTTCTAGCGAGCAGTGTCAGTTGGGGCCATTTTCCCCTTCCCTCCCTCACCCCCCACAAAGGATTCAACGGGTATAAAAGGGAAGGGGAATGGCCACACTCATCCTTCAGTTCCCTTTTAACCACCAAAGGTGTAGTGAGATTGAATCATATGCAATATCATTGATGTGTTTCTTACCTGTTTTGTGCTTTTTGGTTCTGCCTTTTGTGGGCTATTGTCTTTTTTTGTTAAATTAACAGTACAGGTTTCTTCAGTTTGAAGAATAAAGAAGAAATGCTACCCATTGGGCCCAGGTATTACCTGGATGACCTGCAGGAGCCAGAGTGCTGCCTCACACTCCCTTTCTAACAAGGGAGGCTCTTGAGACTGTCTGGTTGTGATCAAGTTCAACATTGACTTTGAACATCCGCTAGCCTTAAGAGGCTCTGTGTCCAGCCTAAACAACATCCATCTCCCCAGTCTTATCTGAATGAGCCCAGCACTGAGGTCTCCAGGTCAACCTAATTCTTTGCCCGGGTTCTAGCATCCTCAATATTGAGGTTGAGGTCCACAGGTCCCGTCAGGTTGATTGAATTTCATGCTGACACCATTGGTATGATATCTCCTGAAATACTAGGAAACAACAATAAATCAGTTAATTAATAAACTTTGGCAGCCGCTCCTGGAATCTCATTGCCTTAGCACCGGAGGTCTGTGTTCCAATCAGATTAGGTTCTCTTGTGCTGGCACAGCTGGTGCTTTAGTCCTAGAACCTATTCTGTTATGGTGCCAGGAAGACCTTGGACTTTGTCTCCTATGCATAAACTAAGGATAATCTGCTTTGGGCACAGATGCCTCAGCAGTCTTCTCCTATTATTTTAAATTTACCTGTACCTGAGTACTCAGATAGCAACAATGCCCAATGGGAAGGCACTCAACTTCTTAATCTCAGTTGGGAACCCTAGATATATAGTACCAGTTCTTCAGAATTGCTAGTGAATAATGTTGTTCTTCAGCCACAGCAAACGAAGATTGCTACCTATAAGGTGACATTTAGGTTGTATCACCTTTTTCCATGGGACAAATTCCAGCTCTTTATCAGTCCAACTAGCCGCAAATGTCCATGAGATGCTTCCTTTTAAAACTGTGCTTTAAAAAATACCAGAGAACCTTGTTATGCTGACTTCATCTATCTTAGTTGTCAAAGTATTTGTGTGTCTCCAAACTTTGGTCCACTGACTAGGTTCTTTAACAGTGTAACTGGATGATATCTTTACCCAGGCCACGCATATGGCCTCCAGAAGACTGGAGCCACGATTCACTGATGCTGCTTACTCCTGAGTCACTTATGTCTCAGATCACTGAAGATACAGAAAGTGAAGTAACACATGCTCATCAGAGAATTCCTTTCTCACATCCCTTACCATTTACAGTAATATTTCCAGATTGTAGACTTGAGACCTTCACCTTGTTATCCAGCCTTTTTAAGGAGTATGGACTCTGGTGGAGGTGAAAGCTCCACATTAAGGTTCTGGAATTGAATGACATTTGTCTAGCATGAAAGTATTCCTCCCTTTAATCAAGACCATAGACTCATCGACCAAAACCACAAATGTCTTCTTTAGGTCTCAGTCTGCTATTATGTATTGTATAGAGTATGACCGGACTAGACTTCTTTGTTACCAAGGAGAATATCCATTATCTCCTGTTCTGCTAGAGAGGTCACTTCAGGGTCAAACAACACCATGTTCCTGACAAACTCCCTTTTTCTTAGATTGGAATTGAGAATTCCTCTGTTCCATTTCATATAGATCTGCCAGAGCATACACACTTAGAACATAGAGGATTTAGAAAGAAGAAATTGAGAGAGGCAGCCAAAAAGAATGAGAGTCTGAAGAAGGTAGAAAAAGATGTTAGGCTGAAACGGGTCATTTCTGCAGCCCTGAAAGATGCAAATGGTGAAAGGACATCGTAAAGGAACAAAATATGTGCAAAATTCAACAATGATCTCTAGTTCTCACATGTCCATGTCCAGTGTACACCATCAAGGTAGCAGGCTTCAGAAGAAGTTTGCGATGTTGTGGGAAGAAATTGAATATGCAGTTCGTAACATAAAGAGAGGAAAGGAGCCCAGGAGTGGATGATATTTGGCTGGAATATCTCAAAGCAGGGGAAGATACTCTCTTCAAAGCGTTGGCGCAATGGTTCACCATTGACATCAATAGTAAGTGTGTTCCAGGTGCATGGAAGAAATAAAAAACAATACTATCGATGAAGAAAGGTGATCCAGAAGAATTGAGCAACTACTGTCCAATCACATTCCTCTCACAAGTGTATAATGTCTTCACCCGCGCCATACTCAGTTGGATTAAGAAGGATCTTGAAATGCATGAAAGCAGAGAACAAGCTGGTTTCCACTCAGGGTATTCGACAGTTGATCACATCCACTCAGTTTGGCAGCTCATCAAAAAAATGCAAGGAATACAAATTACCATTGTGTCTTGCATTTGTCAACTACAAAAGGCATTTGACACGGTGGAGATTAACGCTGTACAAAACATGCTCAACAAAATCTGAATCGACCTGAGGTACATTGACCTGCTGGAAAAAATTAACTGCAGTTGTTTGACGGAGAACATTATTCAATGTCCTATGCATTATTATTATACGTAGAGGAGTCAGACAAGATGACAGTGTCACTGAAGCTGTTTGCAGCAGTACCGGAGTCGCTGTTCAAGAAGGAATTGGAATTGATGGAGAACAGTTAACACATTTTCTCTTCACTGATGACTGTAATATTGGCAAAGGACACAGCAGAACTGGAGAACAAATTGCAGCACCTGCAAACACTTTTTCATGATATTGGGTTGGAAATGAACATATGGAAGACTAAGTGGATGCGGAATGAGCATTGTGCAGCAGGAATCATCACTGTAAACAAGAAAGTAATTGAGGAGGTTGACAAATATATTTACCTGGGTCAGCAGATGAACAGACAACTCATTTGAAGGGGAATGCAGTAGAAGACTCAACAAAAGCAGAGGAAGAAAAATTTGCTGTCACCCAGAGATCAGTGGAAAGGTGAATGTATAAATATGGCTCTGTGATCACATATTGAATGAGGCGATCAGAAGGCATACAGAGATGACTGATATAGTGCAGGCGATGTGTAACACAGAGTGGAGATGGGCGGTCAGGTAGTCCACAGGCAAGACAATAGGTGAACAACCTGCATCAGTGACTGGATCCCCAGAGACCACAAGCAACTGCTGGGAATACCGAAAATGCGCTGGGCCGATCCCATGACAAAAGTCTTTGGCCAGAAATGGAAAGAATATGCTCGCAACAAAACAGAATGGTGTGGTGTTGACTTGTGCTCGTGGAGGGACAGACAAGGACAAACCGGACAAAGGTGATTCCATATCTTACTGCACTCATCACTGTTGTATCTGAGTATGTTCCAATAGTGTATTAAGCAAGATGACCAATGACACATGTTGTTTATTCTCTTATCATCTCCAGGGGGAGAAGTATATGCAGGGGCCTGTCTTGTTTTGGTAAGGTTTTTTAAAATATACATGTTGGTATGTATATTAGAGAAGGAAAGGTCAAAGAAATGTGCCTTGCACTTGGAGTGGAAGGTGGGAAGATGTGTGATGGTCTTTAGTTCCTGGGGGAATTCATTCTGGTTTTTTGGATTGGTCCCTGGGAAAGTTGTCTCCTGCACAGATGAGATTTGCCTTTATTGTGTAGAATTCCATTGCACCAGAGGAACAAAGTTGTCCTCCGTCTTCATCCTGGAGCTTTAGGCGGTCTTTTAGATATCCTGGGCTCAGACCATGGAGTACCTTGAAGATGACGATCAAGACCTTAAATTCAATTCACTGTTCTATGGGAAACCAGTGTAGGGAGCAGAGGTCAGGTTTGACGTGCTCACAGTAGCGTGTATTGCTAAAAAGATGTGCTGCAGCGTTCTAGTTGGAGCTTCCGAAGTGCTGAAGGCTTCATGCTCAGATATATTGGCATGTTTATTCCATTTGAGAGTTGACAAAGGTAGTGAATAACTGAGGCCAGGTCCTCATCCACCAGGATGGGAAGGGGTCTGCTAGCCACCTGGAGATGATAAAAAGAGCTACTCACGATACTGCTGTGTGAGTGTCTCCAAGGAATCCCAGAGTAATCCTAAACTACAGATTGAATTGACCAATTGTGGATGTGTGCCTTCAGTCAAAGGAGACTTCACTGTGGGTATGTACTCTTTAGTATGTTTTCATCTGCCCACCAGCATCATCCATTTCTTCCTCGGGTTCAGCTTTGGCCAGCTATTCATCTGTGAGCTCATCTCATCTATGCACTGGGTCATCTTGATGGTGGTAAGGTGGTTATATGTAGTGAAGGATAGGTAGAGCTGTGTATCATCTGCATATTGCTGGCCCTTGAGTCCATACGTCTGACCAGTTCACTTAGTGGCTGCATAGAAATGTTGAAAAGAATTGGAGGGTGAAATTGTGGTCATTTTCAATATTAGCTTGACCTGCTGTCTACAGCTGATGCTGGTGTGGTGTTTTTTTGTTTTGTTTTGTTTTTTTGTAGATTTGCAATCCTTGTTTACCTAGAAGGCCTCAGCCCACTTTTCTAGGGGGGTTGTATTGCTTGCTAAACTCCAAGTGGGAATATGCAGAGGCCACTCAAAGAAGAAAGAGGTTACTTCCAGTAACTGTTCTTCGAATGTTACCTCTGCATATTAATACTTACCACCCATCTTTCCCTCTTCTTTGAAGTCTCAGGTCTGGTTCTGCACTTCAGTTTTGCTGACATAGATTTGTTGATTAGGAGCGTGAAACAAATCACACCCTGGCCTGACAAAGCTATACCAGCAAAAGCTCTAGTTTAGATGCAGTTACACTGGCAAAGAAGTCCGTTTGCTGGTATAGCTTATTTTGTTCAGGGAATTGGTATAAGCTATACCACCAAATGAACTCTTGCTGGTATATACTGTCTCCACTACTAGGGTTTGCTGATTTAACTATACTGGCAAATACTTTCTAGTGTAGACAAGGCCTCAGGTAAATAAATGTGAAATTAGGGAAGGAACTGAAGGGCATTTGGGGCCACTCCTCTTTTGAATCATCTGGGGGGATAGGGACGGAAGGCGTAAGTAGCCCCAATGTGCATTGCTTGCTCGAAGAACAACAGTTACTGGTAAGTAATCTCACAGCAGTCAATTTAATATTTTCCATAAAATCAATTATGATATTAATACAGCTTTAACATTACAGCTATGTATTACATCATCTGTTAAAGGAGAGCCTGCTCTTTCCAACTATCAAAAGAAAACTAGATTCTCAAAAAGGTGCCAGAAATATAAAATCAATACAGGCTGATGGCTGATTGTTCTATACAATGTGTTTCATAAGGAAAGAAGGCCTTAGTTCTCAACTAAGGTGGTCTCTGATTTCATCCCAGTCATTCTGTATACTTGTGCTTTTTCCTATATTTGGATCTTTGGAGAAGTTAGGTTATATAGTTTAGATCAGTGGTTCTCAAACTTTTGTACTTGACCCCTTTCACATGGCAAGCCTCTGAGTGCAACCCTCCCATATAAATTAAAAACACTTTGTTAGAAATTTAACACCAATATAAATGCTGGAGGCAAAGCGGGGTTTAGGTTGGAGGCTGACAGCTCGTGACCCCTATGTAATAACCTCATGACATGACCCCCCGAGGGGTCCCAACCCTCAGTTTGAGAACCCCTGGTTTAGATGTTAAGCAAATTCTCTAGTTAACGAGCTAGAACTAAGCCTTCATGTACTACTTATACTGACTGAAGATAAATCTATGGGGAGAACCCATCTATGCACATATATTGTCTAAATGGATTAAAGTGAACACACACTATTATGGCCTTGCAGGCTTTTCAATACCATAAGGTCTTGGATCCATGCTCTACCAGGTTTAAAATAGGCTCCATCACTGAAATGTACAAGGATGCTGCCTGGAGATCAATTCATGCATTTACTCAGCATTGCTTTTGATTTGGCTTTTAGATCTGATGCCCAATTCAGATTAGTGTTGTGACCTTAATGTAACTGAATTCTCTTCAGACCCCACCTGCTTTTAACATTGTTACTATTAGGAATCTCCCCAAGTAGGGTTCCATACTGACCATACTCAAAGGAGAAAGAGAAGTTGTTTCCAGTAGAAGTAGTCAGTTAAATAGATCGTCAGTATGGCTTCCTGTCCCCACTTCTTTAGATTCTTTGCTAAGGATTCTGAGAAAATGGAAAGAGCTGAGGGATAGTTGATGTTGCACTCCCTTAAATATCCTTGAGACTAAACATGCAGTGCTACTTTCTAGAGTTCTGACTGGATTCCCCTGCATGTATATTCATTCATACTGTCAATCTACTCTAACTATTACTAGTAAGTACTCTGGCTTAATTTGAATAGATTTTCTTTGGATCTAGGCTTTTCATAGTTTCATCTACTTTATAGTAGTCTACTATATAGACTTGATTTTTATCTTAGTATAACTTATTTTATCTTTTTCCACTCTTCACGTACAGCTTGTAACAGAACATGCCTTTGAAATTCCTGACAATGTTAGGCCTGGGCATCTCATTAAAGAACTCTCTAAAGTGATTCGCTCTGTAGAGGTAAGACTAGAAGACATTACTGAACTGCACTGTGTTTCTCTTATATCTTTGAATTATTGTAAAAACTGTCATATTTACAAAAAGAGGGTACTTGATCACTTTGAGCTTATAGCTTTACGGTAGTTGCAACTGTAGGGTCATTGTTTTCTGCAGTGTCACTTATTTATTGTCCTTGCCATTTATTTTTGAAAGTAGAAGGCCAGGTGGAAAATTTTTGGAGGTTGACTGACTACCAGTATTTCTGATTAACCAAAAACATAGCAATTTTTAAGTTGGATAATCTTTATTCTAAAATTGGAAAACTTAAATCTTTTCAAAAGCAAATGAAAACTTCTAAGAGAGCTAGTTTTTAATTTTTTTTTTTTTAGCTTGTGCTGTTGTAGGATTATACATTGAGAGCCCTTAGATCTTAGTATTTTGTCTCCTTTCTTCTCCCCTTGTCTGTCCTTTTTCTTTTGAACATTTTCTGCTCTTTTGTCTGGTGTATCACCATCTTTTCTTTTTCTTTTATTTTTTCTTCTCTGTATTTTGTATTGGGCATATTGTGCACTTTACTACTAAGAGTCCTTCAATGATTAGGATTCCTAGTCTTTGCAATGAGCATAGTTCTGTGATGAGAGCAGTGCTGGAAACTGAGGAGAGTAGTGGTCTGCTGAGTGTAGTGGGTATATGCCCTGTACTTCCTTTGTGTAAACAGTGGTTAAGGCAGCAGAGTTGTCATAGCAATTTTTGTCAAAAATCACAGTAAAAGTAAATGTAGTATAAGTCATCGGATTTAGGAGGAAATGATGTATAAAATCACAGGAATGCTATTTAAAGGGGCAGCGCTACGGGGATGATTGGGTTGGATCAGGGGCACACAGAAAAATCATGGTATCTGAAATTTTTATCACTGTTACAAATATGCTGCCCTAACAATTGTATGCGGTGGTGGTGGTGATTATATTGTGGTAGCACCTAAAGGCCCTAATTAGGAGAGGGGTCTCCTGCTAGATGCTGTACAGATCCATCAGAAAACACAGGACCTCCCCAAAAGACCTACACTTTTGTTTCTTTTTATGATTGATTATTCGTTTATGTGAATGGGAAACCCTAATTAAATGTGTGGACTTGTCCCTGACGGACCCCTCTGAAATATTTGTTTTCAATTAAAGGAGGAGAACAGCAAACCAGTTAAAACTCAGGGAATTCTTGGTATGTGCCCAGTTTCCTCACATGAAGCAACCTCTCCTCACCATTCCAGAAGAAAAGTGAGGAAACTGCGAGATCATACGATCAAAGTTCCTTCTAATCTGGATATCCTGGAGCTCCACACAAGGGAGGTACTCAAAAGGCTGGAGATGTCTCCATGGGAGGAGGCAAGTATTACATTTCATGGACATAAAAGACAAAAACTAGAATGTATAAAAAGTTTAAGCCATATATTAAGATGTGAAAAACAGCATAAGAAATTGGATAAAAAATGTATTATAATGCCACTGTATAAATTAGGTAACTCTCACCTAAATTATTGTGAGAGATCTGGCCATCCTATCTCAAAAAGGATATAGGAAAACATAGGAGATTGAGAAGATAAAAATAATAATGGCATAAATTACTTCTAAAACAGTGAAAATATTGGGAATATTTAGTTCAGACAGGAGAGGTTGAGAGAGTATGTTAGAAGTATGCAAAACAGTGAATGTCATAGAGAAAAGTGAACTGGGTGCTCTTATTTGCTGTTTTCTCATAATACAAGATCAAGAGACATTCCATTAAACTGAAAGGCAACAAGTTAAATTTAATTTTTGTATACAAAATAATTAACCTGTGAAACTCATTGCCACAAGATGTAATTCAAAAAGAGCCTAGAAGGATTCAAAAATATTTCTCCATTCATATGGATATTGAGGACATAGTTTTTCAACTAATGTAATTGTGTATTTTCTAAAAGGGATGTAAACACTCCTATTTCAGAGGATAAGCCATTCTTGGAGTTAGGAAGAGAGTTCAATTTATGGGCAGGTTACTGGGCATTGTGGGATTTTTCCACTGGCAGAGACTAGCTAGTGGGTGTGATGTTTTGGGGTCCACCCAGACCAGTAAAGGGTGCTGTCATTCCCTGTTGTGTAACTTTGGGGGCCTTTGGGCTGGTTCAGTTCCCTGACACAAGTATGGCCTCAAGCATAAGGTCTCATCGTGGTTCTCACCAGCCTAGTTACTCTTTGCTGAGTGACACCAACCTTCCAATTCCAGGTCTCCCCAAGTACATCTTCCCCAAGTTCTTAGTTACCAGATACTCAGACCATTCCCCTTTGGTGTGTCACACCCAAGGCATGAAGCCAGCCCCTCTCCTCTCCCTCCCTCCCACCCCTCCTGTTATTAGCTTACTTTGGCATATACATGCTACACACCAATTGCACACTAGAGAGCTGCTTGGGGTAAAAACAAACAAAAAGTTTATTTAATAGAAAAAACGCAGATTCAAAGATGAAATAGTAAGGAAAGCAAACATGCAAGTTACATAGAAAATAAACAGAGATGCAAGTTCAGGCTTTACGCTTTCATATTCGATAAAATCTTTTTTCTAATAATAGTTACCGATGTCTTAAGTTTCCCAGCATAGATCCTAGCTACAGGAGGGATCCAGCGTTCATGGACAGTCTCCCACAAAAAGACATTCCTCCAAGTTCTGGATGCTCTTTAGTTCAAACCTCTTCCATTTTAAGAGTTTGCAGGGTTTTTTCCTTTAGTCACTATAGATATTCAAAATGTGGAAATTTTCCTTCTTTCTTAGTTTCCGAAGACTGGGGTTTTCTTTTCGGTTTTAAGCTGTTCTCATTTGCTATGATGGTTCCTCATTATTTTTTCCTGGACTGGATGATGGCTTGAAGTCAGGCGCATCTGTTTGGGGAGGTTGCCCCCCTCTGCCTGATGGGAGGTATTGCTGAAGTTGCACCACAGTTAGTTTCAATTTTCCCACATTACCCCCCCCCCCCCCACTGCCTTCATAACCATAATCTGTATACGTAGCTCATAATGACTGTTTAGTTCAGTGCATTACAAGCTTTCATAAAAGATCTTACTTGATAAACTCTTATAGTAAAATAGCATAGTATATAATCATTTGGTTTAACTGTTTAGTTGGTTGGGTTTTAAACCTTTTTGTCCTCCCCTTAGAGTGTCTGGACCTGATTGTCACAGTGGGTTAGGTAGTAGTTGCCATACCAGTTGCCCACTTTACCTTTGGTTTGCATCACCCTGTTGCTGTTCCTATTATTTGAGAACAAAGATAACTTCTAGAGGGAGCAGTTTTCAACATACTTGTCTGGAAGGATGTTTGTTGGCATATAGCAATGGAGGGTGGTCACAATAAGCAGAAAAAATCCAAAGGTGAGGGAATGAAATCCAGCAATTTTGTATTGCTTATATCCAAACCTGTTCTATCCAAGCCATTGATAGCCAGCTTCAGCTTTCCTCTGCTGGCTATCAGAAATATTCACTATGATCTTTTGGGGAGAAATGCTGCTGTGGATTGCAGAGAAAAGAAATTTGTGTAAACTCTTGTCATTTGAGGAAATAATAAACTGTCCTGCTTTTGATTCTTTAGGACATAGCAAACTCTAAACTGAATGGAAGATTTAACAAGCCCTTTCAGCCATCTTCTACAGTACCTGAATGGAAAACAAAGGACAATGATCTACGCCTCCTGCTTTCAAATGGAAGAATCATCAGGTATAAAAAGTTGCTTATGGATCACTAGTCATTTTGGATTGGCGCACTCTCATTTTTTGACAGAGTTCTTCCCTTCTACTTCTGGTAGCTTGTGTCTTCCCTCACACTTACCATAAGGCTTCATGCTGAAAGCAGAGTGGAGAAGGGTCCAGTAGCACCTCTGTGCTGCTAGGGAAGCAAAGAAGTACTAGGATGGTGGGAGGGAAAGAAAAAAGAAGGTATCTTGCATGTGCATTTAGGTTGTATTAAATTCAGTTATTTGATTAAACTTCAAATTGTAAATATTTTTAAATCCACAGATTTGTTAGAAGGATAAAGTAAATACTTTCTAAACAAAAAAATGCTCATCAGAAATACCATAGGGTCAAATTTAATATGTTCAGAGTCCAGGTTCCAGGAGGAACATGAAATGTACTAATAAATCTTCCCAAAACATGCTGACACAATTATGAGACACAAAAAAGGAAGTAAAATGTAGAACCATGTGGCTGTTGCTGCAGAAGGAATGCAGTGGGAAAAAGTTTGGTAAAAGGAGAAGAAAAGGACAGACAGTGTGAGAATGAGAAACTTGCCTCTAAGAGAATATTGCAAATAATAAAGAATGTGAATAAGTATTTTATGTAGGACTCTGTAAATAATATACAATTCAGTAAATAATGCTTGTAATATTTTAATTTCTTGTGAGATAGAGATGAGCGACGACCATTTACAGATCGAAGTCTTTACACGGCAGACAGTGAGGATGAGGATGACAGGACGAGGTCAAAAAAGACAAAGACTATTAAGATGGAAGACCAGAGCTCAGGATTGGACGGACAAGGGACTGCAGATGCCCAGAAACCACTGAACAGTAAGCTTGTTTTTGCTGGAACTAAATTCCGCATCCTTTATGACCAGAACAAAGTCCACTTTTACTGTGAACCTTGTCTGTGGAACTTTGTACCAACCAACTGGAATATGGCTTTTCACCAAATGGTTCTTGTTTTAGGTACATTTGGCTGTGTGTGTGATATGTAGGTATGTAGATAATTATGAACCAGAAACTGGTGCCTCCATTGTTTAAGATTTGAGTTGAGCTTTTCATTTACAGCAGGAATTCAATCTCTTTGTTACTTATGGAAAAATACAGGGTTATCCTTCCTAAAATTACAGCACTTACTCTGAGTAAAGAATAAATTTTCTGAGAATTTTCAAGTAAATCTGGTAAATAATTTGAGTAAAAATTAATTTGAAAATGGGTCCTTTAAGAAATGTAGCCCTCAGTGTCTGACTTAATTGAATAATAGACTTTTTGAACTTCCCTTATAGTTAAAACTCACTGAGATTTTGTGCATAGGCTGCAGTTGAAGAATTTAAGGCTTATGGTAATTTTTTGCCATTATTCTTCATAACTGAAGTTTTATGCAGAAGCTAAAGAATAATCTCATGCAGAGAATTCCATGAAGAAACTGCATCTTTAAAAGAGCTGCCATCTTCCATTGTTCTCAATGGGGCTAAGGCCACAGTTTGTCCTTAGCAAAGATTGGCCACTATCTCCATTCACCTGTTCCTCAGAATGCTCCCTTCTGCCTCTTGACAACATAAGGAGCCATCATCTTCCATGGGGGCAGATTGGCTTCATTTTCACAGGGGGCCATGGTGGCAATTTTGAAAGAGGACAGTTCTTTGAGTTTCTCTGAAGAAGATTTATGCACCAGTTTCTGCTGACAGATAAATTTTCAGTTATTTTTTTTTAAACGTTTTATATCTTCAATGTGTTTTCAAAAGCTATCCATTGCACCAGATTTACTCAATGGATAGAGCAGGAGGGAGGGGTCAAGTAGGGTATATGTGTATGTATGTATGCGCATGAAAGTTGTAAATGGTGCAACAGGGAGGGGGAAACTGCAGCAGGTCTGCGCCGGGGTATGTGGAGGGCAGGTAGGGAGGGAATAATTTGCGATGTGTGCAGGGGAATATAGAAAGTTGCAACAGGCATGGAGAATTTGAAAGACAGAAGGTATATCCCAATTTCCTTCTCCCTCCTATCTGCTTTGCACTGCTCTGGCAAAACAAAGTAGCAGTAAAACTGGCTGGTGTGCTCTGGCTGCTTATAGGAACTGCCATACTGGATCAGACCTGAAATCTATGTAGTCAAGTATCCTATCTCCAACAGTGGCTAGCACCGAAAGCTTCCAAGGAAGATGTAAGAACCCCACAGTAGGCAAATGTAGGATATGTCCCCCACGTTAGGTCTCGTAATTAAAGATTGCCTTAAGCCCTTAAGCATGAGGTTTAATATCCATTCTAAAATTTGTTCTAGCATTAACAATAATTCTGGATATTTTTGTTACCCAAACGTCTGATCCCTTCTTGGCCTCAATGGTTTCCTATGGCAGTGCGTTCTATAGTTCAAGTACATGTTGTCAGGGCTGCCGAGAGCTGGTTCGGGCCCTGGTGAAAATTTTTTTTTCAGGCCCCCCAGCAAGGGCGGACTGGCTAAACAGGGCCGACGAGGGGGGGGGGAAGCCGGGCCCCGGTAATTTGTACCAGCTTCCCCCCCCCCCTCGTCGGCCCTGCATGTTGTATGATAAAGTATTTCCTTTTATTTGCTACCTTTTAATTTTATCAAATGTCCCCTTGTTCTTGTGTTGAGACAGGGAGAACAGAAGCTCCTGATCTATCTTCTCTAGACCATTCATTATTTTCATCCCCTTTCTAAGGTGAACAGTCTGAGTCTCTTCATATAAATTTTTTCCATGCCCCAAATGTTCATAGACTCATAGACTTTAAGGTCAGAAGGGACCATTATGATCATCTAGTCTGACCTCCCGCATGATGCAGGCCACAAAGCCGTCCCAACCCCTTTCCCTTGCCATCCTTCTCTGAATCCCCTTTAATTCTTCAATATCCTTTTAGAAATGGGCTTACTAGTACTACGTACAGTATTCTGGATGAGGCTGTACCATAGATTTTATATAATGGTGGTATAATTTCCATATTGTTCTCCATCACATTCCTTATCCTAATACTTTGTTTGCTGTTTTTCATGGTAGTTGCACATTAAGCAGAAGTCTTAATTGAGCTGTCTATAGTGATACCCAGGTCCCTTTCCTGAGTTGATAGTTAGAACCTTATAAGGTGTATGTCTTCCCCCCCGACCCCCCATGTGCATTACTTCACTATTATCAACATAAAAATTCATTTGCCATTTTTGTTGCCCATTCACCTAGCTTCGTAAGGACTGAAATCCTCTTTTGTCTTGACTAACCTAAACTGTGTTCATATCTGCAAATCATTTAAAAAAAATCACATGGCAATAGTCTCCTTGAGATTCTTGTTTAGTTTTCGTGTATGAAACTTTTAATTAGAAACAACAAGGAAATTCCAAGACACAAACTGTTAAGATGTAGTTCAGATTGAGACTACACATCAGTAATTTGGGGTAAAGGCATCTAGAGAGAGGGGGCTCTCTTAAAAGGAAAGTGGCTTCACTAAATAGCATAACATAAGATTTTATAGATTGTTATTTGGACATTGGCGGGGGCTTTTGAAACCAGATGTTGAAAACTAAATG